GCAACTTCCTTGCTCATCATGCTTCCCGCGTAACAGGAGCGATTTCTGAGGAATTACAGACGACTCCAAACTCGCGATTCTCGCTTTTCTCACAACTCGAAATTTTTTTATATACGAATTTACGAAAACAAAACTTCCTCTATGAGGAAGCAAAATGTACATACTTCAACGTGTACATTATTGTTTTATATCTCTCGGCTTTGTTTGTCAACAATTTTAATATGCATTGTTCGCTTATTCGTAATTTCGAATTCTTTCGTCTCGATTGATATATACACATGATTGCCTTCGAACTGTCCTCCAAATTTTCGTTTCTGTACATACGTCAACTTTATCGGCCGGTGATAGGTAGATTCCATAGCAATCTACGACTGGTCTACAGTCTTACGATCTGCAACTGCAACTAGTCCATCACGTAAACACAGAGCTGCACAGTATATAACTGACTACTGTATAATTGTAAGACTGCTAATTATTAATAGCATTATGCATAATTCAGCGTGATACATGTACGCGTGGGATGTATCGTACCGTATGCGATTGATCGTACTCTCGGGTCAAAGTTCGAAAGTACAGTTTGGGACGGTTCCATAAGTCGAACGTCAACGACAGCACAGAAACAACAATGGCAATGCAGTGCTTGAGATTACTTGGTGGGTGTCAAAAAATATTGTCCAATTCTAATATTATTGAACGTGGATTGCTATTTAGTATTGATTACGTTTATATTGATTCGCAGCAAACAACGTGCCGAGAGCTACGTGCACTGTCAACAATGTCAGCCGACACATTGCCTCGCTCTCTATGCTGCCAGACACGTATCAGATGCTGTACAAAACGTGCAGGTATTATGGTATTACACAGGCGATAAATTAGACTTGTGTATTTTATACAGATACAATTAATTACTGTACAGTTGAATAAAATTTATCATTGCCGTTAAAAATTTGTAATTGCAGAGACTTCGCCGAGGAGGAATTGAAGCCTGTCGCAGCAGAAATTGACAAGAAGCATCTTTTTCCCACGGAGCAGATCAAGAAGATGGGCGAGTTGGGTCTTATGGGTTTATGCGTTCCTGAAGCACTGGGTGGAACGGGATTGGATTACCTGGCCTATGCCATAGCCACGGAGGAAATCTCCAGAGGTTGTGCGAGCGCCGGCGTTATAATGAGCGTGCAAAATTCCCTCTACTTAGGCCCCATAAACGCGTTCGGGACCGACGAACAGAAAGAACAATACGTCATTCCTTTTACAAGCGGCGAGAAGATCGGCTGTTTCGCTCTCAGTGAACCGGGTAACGGATCTGACGCCGGTGCGGCGTCCACCACTGCAAAAGCGGACGGCAACGTTTACACGGTTAACGGCACCAAGTCGTGGATAACAAACGGATATGAAGCCAGTGGAATAGTTCTCTTTGCGACGACCGACAAGTCCAAGAAGCACAAAGGTATAAGCGCTATTGTAGTGGACAAACCGACGGCGGGTCTGAGCCTGGGCAAGAAGGAGGATAAATTGGGTATACGAGGCAGCAGCACTTGCTCCTTGATCTTCGAGGACTGTCAAGTGTCGCAAAATAACACCCTAGGCAAACCAGGAATGGGCTTTAAAATCGCGATGATGACTCTAGGTACACACGATCGTTATCACGCGAATTTTAACGAACCGGTAATAGTTATTCGATGTAACATTCGATTTTATCTCTCAGATTCTGGCAGAATAGGAATCGCCAGTCAGGCGTTGGGCATAGCTCAAGCATCTCTGGATTGCGCGATGGATTACGCAGCCAAACGCCAAGCCTTCGGTCAGCCGATCGTCAAGCTGCAGGCAATTCAACAAAAAATCGCTGACATGGCTCTGAAACTGGAAAGTTCAAGACTGCTGACGTGGCGAGCGGCTCAGCTTAAGGATAGCGGTAAATCGTACACGAAGGTGCGTTATAAATATTTAGATATATAAATATTGTTTCATTCTACTGGAATATTTACTCTGAATATGACGTTCCTTATCTTAGCCCATATATATTTTTCTATTGATTACAGTTTGTATAATATCTTATCAGATAAAGTAAACTTCGCGCTTTCATGTGAATGGCATAGAAATCTTCAAGTAGTCACGATAGCTTAAGCATTAATTATCAACAGTTTAATTATCAACAGATCAGTACTAAAATAATCGAAAATTTAAATGAGAAAAAAGGTGGGGTAACTTTTACAGAGAATGAACAGACCTTTTTGAGGTCTTCAAATAGAAGGCCTAATTATAATAAGAGCCAGATTGCAGATGTCAAAATTTATATCGATGTACGATTGTTTTGTCAAACTTGTGTCCGTCCGTTTTGCATTTTCCTCAGTCGCGAACTGAGAAAGTCCGAAGCGGATATCATATGCAAGTAAATTTTTCACACATCTGGCGATCTGACTCTCCCGTTGGTTTTTCCATCTACTAATCAAGATAATTTCTTATTCGCTAGGAAGCCGCCATGGCCAAACTGTCGGCATCGGAAACCGCCACGTTCTGCGCCCATCAATGCATACAGATTCTGGGAGGGATGGGATACGTGTCGGATATGCCGGCGGAACGTCATTACAGGGACGCGCGTATCACGGAGATCTACGAAGGCACGTCGGAGATCCAGAGACTCGTGATCGCCGCGAATCTCGTCAAAGAGTACGGCCTCAATTGAGATCGCACGACTCACGCACGTAAGATAAAATCCTCCAGTATCTTTCTTTTATATCCAAAGAGAGAGCAAAATATATTTTGTACGTATTGCATATCGTATTAGATTTTGTATATATATATATATATATTCTCTATATTAATTAATTATATTTTTATATTAAGAGAAAAGTCGAAATAAATTTCATATGCTATGCCTTCTAATTTTATTAACTCTTGACTAAATACTTGACTGGATCGAGACATACGCACATACGCGCACACACATGCACATACACGTACGTATATACGTATGTATGCAAGAAAAGGAAACGCATTATACACGTGCATATATACATATATACACATACACATACTCATCTGGTATTTCACTGTTAGCCCTTTGGCAGCGATACGGAATTTTTTCTTCCTCTCCTTTTTTTTCTCTCTATATATCCACGACTCTTCTCTACCCTGCTTGTCGCATGTCTAGGAACAGCTAGAGCCTATCTATTTAAGTAACTATTATCGTAGGATAACAGGTGTAATGTAAACTCGCGTACGTGTGTGAGAAACTCTCATGTCTTAACAAAACGAATGAGTCGCAGTCGTGGAACAAAGGCGGATTCCATTAAAGTTACGAGCTTGTTTGAACGACACAGATGTGCCTTATTTCGATCGGTTTTCCCTCGTCGATAAAATGGCGAATAAATACATGTCCAGTTTTCTCTGTTTCTCGTATGTATGTCCGGTACATTGAGTACAAATACTGTGTGCACCGTCGTGGCTACCACATACTTCGTACGTGAATACGAAGATAAAAGCTACCTTAGACTACATGCCTTCCAACGAGAAAATACAGAGAATACATTTACTTTGTGCAGATGACAGTTAAATTATATACTCCATTATTGTTTTTTCAATCTTCACTCGTATATTTAATTAGAGATCCTATCGCTAGGTAAGAACGCTGCTGCGATTACACGTTAGTGTACAACCCATTAAAAGACTCTTTACTCTCATTTGAGGATTCGATTTAGCGAAAATAAATATAATTATTTTCAAAACAAACTTTAAGATATCTTGTCTCTAATTATCTTCTCTTATCGTCATATTTTTTCTCATCACCGTATAATAGACTTAAAATTTGAAAGACTTAAAATTTGAGGATAATTTAACAGTCTGTAATGAGTTACGAGCAGCGTTCCAGAATACTTCGTCGGTTGTACTCAGAGATCCATTGGAATGCAAAGAAACATTATATATATATAATTTGAATTTCATTGTGTATACCTCTTTTTCTTTTTTTTATATATATATACAACAACGCACCCTTTCGTCATTCACCCGCTGTCACCAATATTGAAATAGCCTAAACTCTGTTTCTCTACATATGTGTGTATATGTATATCAGTGTGAGCACTTTACATAGAATACATCACCTCTCCCCTCCCGTCGTGAGTAAACAATTTAGAGTAGTATGTTAATACGTTACTGTTAGCATCGCAGTATAATTAAAAAATCCATCAGTTTGGTCCTAACTTTTTAGGGGATATAGATACATATACACGTCTCGCGCTCGTCGATAACGAACGGAACGAAAGAATAGAGGAACATTGTAGGTTGAAATCTACCGTAGTACCTTGCCTCGCGGAATCATCAAGAATTCCACGAAATAACTATAGATACACATTGAAGATTCTTATAAAGTTTTTTCGAATCGAGCTTCCTGATCACATATACACTTTCGTAGAATTGAGAAAATACTACTCTGCTTTTTCTTCTTTCGAAAATACACGATCTAATACATTACACTTTCGGTCGAAATAATAGTTCGAAATACAGATCGTTAATATGCAACATTTAGATTTTCAATTGTACATTAATATATTAAACTGTGGAATTTTTAACTATTTAACTACGATCAAACTCGCGATGTTAAATCACATATTTTCCTTTGTTTTTTTTTTTCTTTATGTACTCTTCGCAGCAAGCATTTTGTTCGTTAATTGAACTCCAATATCTATTATTATCGAACTACGAACTGCTGTTAAGTAATCATAATTTTTTTTTTTATCTATGATGGTTTTCACGAAACCAGATTCTTTTCATAATTATGCATTAAACAAGAGAACCAGATAATTCTGATTCCTTTCGTTTGTCTCTTTTTTTTTTTATAATAATAACTACATTATAATAATCTTTGACTGTAGATACATTTATCTAAAACGCTTGTAAATGTAAAATAAATTAAAATAGTAAGTAATTTGTAATAGACACTGAATCTATAGACACGTAAATTCCAGAAATCGTCCGAATCCTGTGGAATCGTCTATGACAGAGCGTAACAGGGTGTACATCTGTAGGTATGCGTCTGTATTTGTGTGTACATGTATAAGGAAATTGATTTAACCGTTCATAATAGAAGCTATCGAAGCCTCAATCGTCAGCTCGCATACCCCGTACTTCACCTTGATGTCTTTGCTGCAATTGAACATATAAAGAACGTTTCAAGAGATCGAAAATTTTGACTTTCAACAAACGGAAGAAAAATCTCTCACAAAGCAAAAAATCGAATAAATTTGAAACGGGAGAGTTGAAGAGAGCGCAATCGCTTACCCTGTCTAATTCTTCTTTCGTATTGTCTTCAATTGCTCTAATATCCTCCATAGTTAAACCGTACCAACGATCTATCCAGCAGAACACTTGTCTATGGAAATTGGTGAACAGGCGGCGTTCCGCCTTCTGAATGAATCCTTCGACGCGAGTCTGCAGACCGAACCATTTGAATTCACAGGTGACTAGCTTGTAGCACGTCATCACAGGTTGAACATTATGCTTCCAGTCTTTCCCGACGAGTGGGCCCCGTCCCGTCTTCTGGGACTTGAATTTAGACGGATCCTCGTCCTCCTTGTAATCGGCACTGGCGACCGGATCATTGGCAATATCTATATGCACTACCTCTCTGATTTTAAGCTTATCGGGCGGCAATTCGTGCACCTGAGTTCGTGAGAAGAAAACACACGTAAACGAATGAAACCTACTCGTCGAATCTCATAGCACTTACGTTATGCTGATTGCCGACATCGCCGATATGAAAGGATTCTATCATGATCACGAAATTGTCCTTCATATACCCTGGATTCTGCGGAAAGATCAAAGTAACATTTATGTGGATATATTTAAACGTAATATTTCATATATTTATACGTGAATATACGCGCAACACTTACAGTTATGACTGTCTTACAATAGGGATAAGCGTTCCAAGCCTCTTCGTGGATCTCCAACGAGTTCTTTGGCAGTAAAATGCGAATAAAAGCAGGCACTTTACTAGCTAAGTGATAAATCTTATATGTATATTGGCCTGATGAATACTTTCCACCGAGTAACGGATAATCCGTAAACGGCTCATTCTTCAATACTTCAATGCCTTCTCCGCCGCCTGTATTATTTTTACTAGCCTCTGCTACAGAATACAGTTGAGCTACTTGGTACTGTTAAGAGAGAGAAAGAGAGAAGAAAAAAATTAGTGTATAAATTCTCAATATTTTCCGAGGTAGGTTAAGCCCGTTACATAATTTCACTCCACGAGCCTTGCAGGCATGATTTATACGTGTACTTTGACTTGTTTTTTGAGCACTAACATTTATCAATTCTTTTTATTGGAGTTTATTTATTATTACAATTTATCCATTCAAAAGGCGCAAACAAGAAAAGATTTAAAGTCCACTGTAGAGTCTATATCTATTTCTAGAATTGATACCGCGCATGCAACGACAATTATAAGATATCTCTGTTGGACATCACTTTATTATCCCTCCCTGAGACAAATAGATAATGAGAATAGAAAAATAGAAACATAGTCTAAACAACAGATAACAAAGAAACTTATGTGTCTGTGCGACAAAAAAAGATTTCTAATCACAAATGCAACATTGTTTATGCAAGATAACTCCACATAAGTACTCAGAGAGGCATGGCACATGTGCCATGCGGAGGATAATTAGATGATTGGCGAATTTTCTTGATTGCACGGCAGTGCTAAGAGATTAGTATCAACTGTCTTTTTATGCAATCTGACAGGTATCCAGACAGGTATCAAACCGGGGGGTCATTACGAGGAATGGAACTCCTGGGAAAGATCAGGCACGTACCTCTTCCACTGTGAGGGGCAGAGTGACACGGCTGTAACAGACAAATAACGGATTATGTCAGCGTTACGTTACATATCGGGAGGCAAGAAGGAGGCGAAGGAAATTACACACGGATAACGCAACCGTGTCCTTGAGTCACAGGAGGGCACGCGTCATCGCCGCCGCGAGGTGCACGTATCGCCCGGCCGATCTCATGTAATTACATCAGAAATCGGCGCTGATCGATAAGTTCGCGAGGGATTTAAAAACTGAACGCATGTGTCGATCCGCATCGTACGCGGACGGTCGATGCCGGGGAAGCCTAAAGTCAGCCGAGATTCTCGGGAAGCTGCACTTTTCTCGCACTACTTCCCGCTACTGGCCAGGAACCGTCGTATATTTTTAAGCTTCGTTAAGGAGAGAGCGAGAGCGAGAGAGAGAACGAGAGAGAGAGAGGGAGAGAGAAGTGCAGAAAGTGCAACCAGCGCGAGCAGACCTCTGGAATCATGCGGTAAGGGATGAGAGGGCCACCATCCCTCTCGTTCCCCGTCTCTCTTTCTCCAACCCTCTCCCTCCTCCACCACCTCCTTCACCAGCCGCCGTTAAAGATCAGCAGTCATCGTGCCCCGTGCCGATCGGTTTTTGAATTTCGCTTGCGCTGATGGCCCACGGCGTTGGTCGTGGCCAGGAGCGAATTTCGGTAATCCGCTCGGCGCGGCGCGCACCCGACAGGCCCCTTGCTCCGGTGCGGTCCCCGTAACCATCACCGTCACCGTCACCGTCACCGTTCTTCGCTCCTCCTCCGCCTCCCCCGTAACCGTCCCCCGCGCCGCACTTACAATTCCTTGATGAGCATTTTAGTCAGCAGAGCACATGGACCAGTAGCGTGCGATCAGCAGACACTCGCCGACACCGACGACGACGAGATGGAGCAGCGGAGGAGCCCGCTGCAGACGGCACCGCACCCTCTTCACCTCGTCGGCTACCGATCTCTGACTCACGGCTTGCGCTATCGGCTCGCTATCGGCTCGCCGCCGCCGCCGCAGTATCATACACTCGCAACGTGCAATGTGCGCCGAGCAACGCCGACAGGATTCACCAACCGACTGACACACTCCGGCCAGATTCACTCCGGCCGCTTCACGGTCCGCACCTCCGCACCACCAACAGCAGCAGCACAGCAGCAGCACCCAGCAGCACCGCACACCAGCAACCGCACCGCCACGACCGCGCCAAAGGAGTCTCACACACACTTGCGCGCGCCCGCGCACACGTGTACGACTCCGCGGTACCCCCCCCCCCTCGTCGCCCCCTCCAGCCGTCATGCCGTCCGTCCATCTGTCGTTCCTCGGCCACCCTCGGCCGCCATCGCCATCGCCGACGATCGTCCGATACGCCCTCCTCGCCCCTCGCCGAACGGGGCGACTTTGCCGCTGACGTCATTCCGCGAGAAATTAGACGCGCGTGCGCCACGCGGCTGCCGGCCGCCACGAGCGCGCGTCTAATTTCTTAAGCTAACTTCATGCGACTCGCGGAGAGAATAAAAGGTTCGAGTTTTATATTCATGATTACGATATCGTTACGCAATATCATGCGCGATGAAATGCATCTTGTTTTTTCCCCTCCCGTTTTGGCGCCTACGGGACGCGAGAGAAGTTTTCAAAACGAATGCGCATACGTCGTAAACAGGTTTCCGTCCGTTGAGCGTTAGGGAATTACGGCTGTGGTCCACTTGACGGTACAAATGCTTCGAAGCATATTCCTCGTCTTCTTTCTTTCAATGAAGAAAGAAGAAGAAGAACGCTTCAAAGCAATTATTTGTATATAACGTCAAGTGGACCGCAGCCTACGTTGGATGCCCTGCGATGCGCATTTAAGGGCGAATTCTCAGAATGTCAGGATCGGCCTGGGGGTCAATCATATATATGTATGACGATTAATTAATCTATGCCGATAAAATATAAATTAAATTAGATTACCAACTTAATCGACAATTAAGGAGTTTGTCGGAGTTTGGTCTCAAGGTCGCTTTTAAAACTTTCTTTTCAAGTAAAGAGAATGCAATAAAAACCGGCGTACAACGTAATAGTTATTTGTGTAACAAGTGAGGTAAGATGAAAATTCCCGGGTGCGGAGTTTACGCACGAGCCGAAGGCGAGTGCGGTAACTGCACCCGGGAATTTTCATCTTTACACACGGCTTACACTCCCTATTTTATGTTGCAAGTGCCTGGAAAGTGGTCTATCACGCACGCGTAGCGTGCGTAATATGGGGCACATTCCATGCACGTGTTGAATAATATATATTTTTTTAATAAGTTGGATGTCGAAAAAACATACTTTCGATGTTAAAATTGGACTGCCTCGTAAATTATAACCCGTACTTTAAGGGCCACTTCGACCAAGCTCCGATTAACTTAATCGCGGCGTTGATTAGTCATTTGTCAATCTGTTTCATGAGCGATTGGTCATTTCCAATGGACTAATCAACGATTAAATTAATCGGAGCTTGGTCGAAGTCTTAAATATCGCGAGTTCTAGTTCCGAGCAACGTGTGTTTATTATTTACTGCCACGGATATATCCTTGAATGTCATAACGGCAATATTTTGGGAACTCTCAACTTCGATGTTACAGAAAGCAATTAGTAACTAGTCGATTTCGGTAAGTTACAGACTAAGGGACGACCTCAAACACGATATCTGTATATCAGGTGAGAAACAAAGTCGTAACAGATCGAAATCTTTACTATAGAGTCTCTCGATCGCGCTTGTGAGATGATTTTCGCACGTCCACCGTTCGACTCTTCGCCAGAAAAATTATCAATTTCAACTACTTAGCATGAAGATTCAGGCAGAGAGTCCCGTGATTGTAGCAGCAAGAAAAGTTCGATTCCATGATAATTAGATTAACGTAGTACGTTGTAATTACACAAACGCTCAAATTTTAGATGATTTAAATATCTAAATCTAAAAAAAAATAGGAATAGAATACCATGAATACGTTTAAGAGATAAAATTGCAAAATGATTTAGAATCTTTGCCACGAATGGATTACAAATGAATTAAAAATTTTTACTCTTCAGCAACAAGATTAATCGCACGCGAACCCGAACGCGAATATGATGAATAAGTATTTGTCCAAAAATATATTAATGGCAAGAATACCTACCACGAGTACGTTTAAGAGACAAAACTGCAAAATAATTTAGAATCTCTGCCGCGAATCTCTGTTAATCGAATACGATTGTCAAATTGTTAATTTTCCTGTTCAACAATAAGATTTGGGCAGAAATTTTTATACTAATAATATAGAAAAAATTTGAATCGAAATTTTTTTCAGAGAAGTCTCAAGGGGAAACAAATAACGATATAATGCAGAATTAAAAAGCTGGTGACAATTTATGTGAAAAATCTGTAGGATAGAAATAGTAATATAGAAGAAATTTACACAAGAGAGAAAGCATCAAATTTTTTCGCACAATATATAGACCAGATGTCTGATAACATTGATGACGAAGTGGTGGTCGTAGAAATCGCTACAGCGAAAAAATACGTGAAAACCTTAATATCCAAACTTCCTGATATGGTAATCATTTGTACAAATACCATTTGCAATTGCTATTGTGTATATATATTTAGGAGCCAAGGGTAGTATATCCTAAACAACGACTTTGCTCGGAATTGTTTAATATTTTTAATTTTATCAATAAGTTTTATTGAAATTTGCAATCTATAATTTTTGGTATCATTAATGGATAATAATGTAGCATTTCGGAAGAATATTCTTTGTGCAATACTCTTCTTTTTTCGGAAGTTTTTTGTTTACTGCGAATACAATAGATATAAGTTATTTTGATCAGAGCTAAAATATTCTTTCGGGACATATTACTGATAAAACAGTATTAGAAAAATAATGTAGATAACGCCAATGAAAAATGAATATGTTTAATAATTAGGATAATGTAAATAAATATAAAATTAGAAGTGCAGCAAAAAATATATTTTTATTGATGCTGTTGGGTTATTTTTTATTAAATTTATGGTACTAACTATAAAGCTTGAGTGCAACTCATTTCAGATAAATGATAAGCCGGAAGTAATGATGCGAAGATATAAACATGTATTGACCATGAGCGAAAACACCATTATGGCAAATTATTTTGTAAATCATCCAAATATATTGCAAGAAATGTTGAATGCTGTGAACAGTAAACCAGATGTTGTTGTATGCTACATTCATCTTTATTGCAAATATTCCATTGTTATTTCTAAAGTAGTTTAATGAAATTATTTTAACGTTAATCCGTTAACATTTTTTTTTCAGGAAATAGTGATTTGTATTATTAATAATGTATGCAGCAAGGATGAAACAATGATTCTCATAATAGGCAATGACCTAAGTTTTGTATCATCTATCCTAAGTCATTTGGAATCCAAACACGAGTTGCTACAATTGAGTGTTCTGAGATTCTTAAAAGTAGCAGTGCACACGATCCGAAACAATTGTGCACCAAGTTGGTTGAGGTGTGCATCAGGGCACTTGAAGAAAAATGAATCTCTTGGACGCTCTATACTCGTTATACTTGAGTTTGAATTTACCGAATCTAATGGTATACTAATTTATTGAAATATATCGTAAGAGAATCAGTTTTGCAGAGCGCAATCCGATTAATGTGTTAAATTTTTTTTTATAGAAAAGTTAATAGAAACAGTCATTGACCTGGTCAAGGAAATGGCTGAGACAAAATTGAATCGATCTGCAGACGGTAATTCGAATCAATCTAATTTTCTAGAGGAAATACATGTAAATGGAGTCTCTATCAATATAAATGATATAATTTATAAAATAACGATCCGTTGCAAGCAAATGGTAGAATGGAAACGTAAAAGAGAGAAACAGATAAATTTAGAGCTTACCTACAATTGGCTATCAATAATGACGATTATGAAAACAAAGATAGCTGTGTTTTACAATGAATTGAATTTACACGGCGTAATAGTGGAATGCTTAGTTTGTGTTTTCAATCCATACCGGGAAGTTTTACTTTCAGAACTAATAACTGATAAACGACCTAAAATTATTGATTTAATTTCCAAATATGCATACCTATTGCCATATTTGGAATACAATTTGTCACATCGCATAAATAACATTTTGATGCGCACAATTTCAAGTCTTAAAATAGGTATTAAAATTCGTTGTTGCATTGTGGATAATTAATGCAGTAATATGTTTTTTCTAACCATATTGTGTATAATAGTTTTAGGTGTAGTATCAAAAACACTGAAATCAGATTCTGACAAGTTTTTAGACGCTCTGAAAAATGATAACAAATTAACAATTCTATTGTACGATCCAGCTTATAGTATAAGTAATCCAAAAGCAACACGGTTATTAAATTTACAGTTGTCATTACCTAACTTGTTAAGAAACCTGGAGGAAGCCTGGTTGAACATGGTTAAACATCTGTATAAATCTTCTATAAAAGATCTCGTACTCTTAATTGAACCGTTTTATGACGAAAAGGATTATTTCTTGCAGTTGCTTGTTCATAAACGTATATTAGATGAAAAGTCGGTGAAAAAGATTGAGAATAAGATAAATAAAATAATATTGTTATTCGGAGTAAATGAAGAGAAATAAAAAAAAAATAAAGATTAGAAATAATTAACGACGTACTTATTTTTACGAATTATTAACGTACTTATTAAAATTCATATTTTTGACGATTTGTAATGGTATTTTTTTATATTATTATTATTAATTAACACAATGATTTCAATAAAATAATATTGTTAATATTACATTATTGACAATATTATTAGATTTAATGCTTACAACATATATGTATCAAAGGAAATTATATGCCTTTTGCTGCCATATAATAAGTGTCATGTATAAAGCATATATATCTGAAAATATCTCTTTCTTTTTTTACATACAAAAATTAAATTATAATCGATTTCATTATAACTATATTATATATACAAAATATATATATCAAAAAATTGTAACAAAAAAAATGTAGACATATGCTGCATGTAATATATTTATCGAATAAATTAATTTAGCATATATGTTTCATTGTTATTCGTTTTTATGTATTTGACACATTGTTAATTACTTCTAACATTTATATCAATTTATAAACGTGTGGTTATATATATATATATATAACGTGGATATATATATCCACGTTACGGTCTCTTGAATCTTATTTTAAAATCGCATAGATCTTCCTAACTGGAAATCTTTTAAAGATAACAGTTTTATTGAAGAAAGATGACAATATTATTGAAGAAAAAATTCACATCAAGCGAAATTACGTGACTCGACTTTCGTGCCAGGGAGAGGCGAACATGTGTTACGGGACACCCGGTATAACGAGCAAAAGCAGCGCACTTTTGGCATGCGCACTCCCTTGTTGTTGGTTAGCAGGCTCGTGGCTCGTGGTGGTGGTTGCTCGTGGTGACAACGTGCAACGTGCGACGCACGTTGGCACGAGACGAGGGACGGTGAACGATTTGAGACTTGAGACTTGAGACTTGAAAGGTCGACTTCGAACTTCTGGAGCCTCCGCGCGATTCCGCATCACCGACGAAGATGAGCAACGAATTTACGATCGACGAAGTGAGTAAAACGTCCGACCGTCCCTCGTTCAATGACGCGTTCTCCTTTCGGCATCACGAAACATATTCTCCGTTTGCAGTTTCCCGCTTTGAGGTCGAGACATGTTTACATCAGGGACGAAGTCGCGCTCCTGAAGACGATAAATGCGATACAGCAAGGCGGCGCGAATAATCTGCAGGTATGCGCTCTTATATTTACGCCTTTGCGATCACCTTTTAATTCAGCATTAGGTTAATCTACGATTACCTGTGTGCAGATAGTCACGGATTTCGACTTGACCGTTACAAAGCAACACATAGACGGCAGGGATGTACTTAGCAGCTTTGGTAAGTAAATAATAATTTATTGTGTAAAAAAAATGTAGTTTTTATTTTTATTATAAGCTCTTTCTCACAAGCTTGCTGATTTCCCTTGCAAGTTCACAAGTTGTCTATCATAATTGAGATTTATAATTGTTCAAATTTGTGATTCGTCGGTTTCTGTTCAGCTCTGCGGTAACTTAACATTGAAATTTAATTTCAGGTATGTTCCGAAAATGCAAGCAATTGCCGCAGCAGTATTTAGACGAAGCTAAGCATCTGTACAATAAGTACAGACCAATGGAAATAGATCCGGATATGCCTGTGAACAAGAAGGCAGACGCTATGCGCGACTGGATGACAGCTGCGCAAGATCTGTTGAAAGGCATTGAGTTTGATCCTCACGAATTGGAGGAAGTGGCCCAAGCGTTCGAAAATATATTGCGCGATGGTACGGAAGAGCTTTTTCAGAAACTGTACAATGCGAGAGTGCCGATTGTAGTGTTTAGCGCCGGTTTGGGTGATATAGTGGAGGCTGTGCTGAGGTACCACAATGCTCTCTTCGACAATGTAAAAATAATCTCCAACTTTCTCAAGTATAATGGCAATCAATTGGATGGATTTAAGAACGACGTGCTCATACACGTGTACAACAAGAATGAGTGTGCACTGGCAGAACATTATCTCAAGTTACTTCAAAAGAGACACAATGTGTTGTTAATGGGCGACACGATCGGCGACGCCAACATGGTGGAGGGACTAAAAGACACTAAGGCAGTCCTGAAAATTGGATTCCTGTACGATCACGTAAGTATCTCGATTAGTGGGCTGCGGATTCGCGAGATATAGTGACTGATCTCGTTTCTTTTCCAGGTGGAGGCGAGCTTAGACTCATTTATGGAAAAGTTCGATATCGTTCTCGTCGACGATCAAACGATGCGGGTGCCGATGGAGATACTAAAAAATATCTTATAATACCGTCTACATCGATACTCTTTTTACCTGCCTGCGTGTACATGTACGCACCTACCCGAAGGTGTAAACGTCATACGCATACGTGATCGCTCCGTGTTTCAAAATACGAAGACTTTCTAACTCATTCTACAATTAACATATGTTTTAACTTAAGTACATTTCCTAATATATTTTTCATAATAGCGTATCGGCATAATGCGGATAAGCTATAAGTTACGCTCGTCTCACTGGTAAAAGATATATTTTAAAGGCGTGTGCATCTTAAATGAATTAATCTTTAACTTAAATTGAAAAGTTGACATATCTGCCATTTATAAATTTTTGCAAACCTATGTATGTGTGAGTGTGCGGCGTCTGACTACGATATGTAACGTAATATTGACATGTAATATATTTATTGAAGTTATAATTTGCGAAATCTGAGCACTGTGTGTTCTCCGATAATCAACATCTCTCTAAATGTGAAATCGTGTCTCGTATTTTTATCAAGTATTTTTGCCAAGTATATTTATCGCCGATATTTCAAAATAATGGTATTAATTGCTGTGTCACAAAAAAGAATGAAAATCTTGATTCTAAGCAATCGAACAGTAATATCTCTGTATAAATTAACTTTAGTATGTAATTAAACTCAATGTTAAGCAGTCAGAAGATGATTTAAGATGTTGAAAATTAAGTGTTAAATTTTTGAAAATTAAATGAGCGTGAGAAAGTTCGATATAGTATTAATTCATAGCCCTCATATACTTTGATAACGAAAATTGGAGATTTACTCAATACTTCTGTTAATTATATATTTTTTACATTCATTTTCATGCCAATAAGTCAGTTTCGGTGAAAGTCGACTTAAGTTGTCGCCCGTGGCACGGCGCTCCCGCCGCTGCAGCTGGTAGCTGGTAGCAGTGACTGCGGCCGTGCCGGCCGTCCAGGCCGTCCTACCTCGTGTGACCCGGACCGCATGCCGCAGCTGTCACCGGCGACGAAGATGGTCGACGTGCCGCCGGTGATGCTGCGGCGATGACGGCCGTATATGCGGGGGACTCACATGTCCCTGCGGATGATGTGCTTGCAGATGGCGATCTCGATGATGGTGCTAGTGCTCGCGATGCTGCGGATGTTGATGCAGTGGCCGTGGTGTGCGCCTCGGGTGGCCGCGAGTCGCACGCGCGGCGTTGCGACAGTCCTCCGGAAGACGACCGCGACGAGGATGACGTCGTCGCCAAAGATGCTCGTGTAGCCCGCACTTGCTATTGAGATGAGCCCCACCGTTCGCGCACTGAGTGTGCCCGCGCCGGCAGTATTGCGACCCCGGCTTCTGCACTCGGGGAACGCTGTGCTCTCGCTCATAATGAGCTTTAACATTTCTTAACGGCACGGCTGTTTTGCCGATATAATTACAGACGGAGCACTTATAGCTTTTATGTAGTCCCCCGGATGCATTTTCTTTTCATGTTTCGCGATGTGAGCCGGGTCGCAATACTCACCCAGCGGTTTAAGGTGGTCGCTCTCGCCCACCCAGCACCGGGTATATAGATGATCATAACCATGCGCGGTTCTTGTTGCCCGCGCGCCTCTGCCATATTAAAATTTTATTAAATATATAAATAATTTTCATTTAGTTTATTTCAATGGCGCATTGTCCGAGTCGGACCTACGCTCTACGCCCTACTGCCCTATAACGCCTCATGTGCCTTACAGGTTATACCGCCTCTCCAGCACATGAGACTAGCCCGTGGGACTCTGTAGGGGGGACCTACAATTTAACGCCGAATCCGAACGGCAAGTGGATTAAATCATCGCTTTGAACTCGTTTCGTACCTCTTATATAGACTACGTGGTTGTATTTTAAATACGAGTTATGGTTCTACCTCATGCGCGACGTAGCGGTGAACGCTGATACTATATGTCAATATATTTTTTAATATTAATTACGTATTACGTCTTAGGTGTTTTACTTGTTGTGTATTTGTATGTATTATTATTTATCAGTAATCAATCTTTATGTATGGTATGTTCATATTTAAAATGGTATGTTTATGTCTAAAATCTTATGTTAATCAATAATTATACAGCTTCTAAGTCTTTGTACTACCTGATTCTATTTTATTACAATACAGTGTGGATTTATGATTATAATATAGAATTTATAATCAATATCTTTAGTTTAATTTTATATAACCTTTATTTCTTATCATTAAATTATTAAAGGTATGCACTGTCGTGCATAAATAAGTAAATAAATTCGTGAAAATTATTAAAAAAAAGAGATATTATTAGAAAGAGTAACAAGACTATTTCAATAAAATTCATTTTACGTTTGTTTTTTAATGTAAAACTCCGCGCGGCTTGGAACAATTACCTAAGCGCGGATAATAATATCATGAAAGAGTGGAGAAAATGGAACGATAAAACAGACTTCTCTTATAGAACGGATAAAGCAGGTATGTATGATCAGACTGGTACGAATTTATGGTAGATGAAGAAGAATTTACGTTTGCTTTATTTTATTGCACTTTATTATCGCATAATACTTGATAAAATAAATATATACATGTGTACATGCGGTTGTGCGGGCGTGTGCATTCATGTAATTGATTGTAGCATTATATTCATGGGAATAAGTATCTCTAAAGTCAATGGTAATGTAATAGGAGACAGCATGTAACAATACATACGAAATCTTAGAACTTAATGACGGTAAGACTAATGGTAGAAAAAAATCGGTTAGGACCGTAGAAAATTGTGATATAG